TTGTTAGCCTGTAAGCACCTGAGCAGTAATGACTTTTGTGGCCTTTCAGGTGTTGAAGTCCTGATGAATGAAAAGCCAAGTCAGATGTGTTACCTCCCAGTTGTGGGTTTAGATGTGCTTGCTGTCAATAATAAGATGAAATTAAATGATTATAAATAATGTTGAGCAGTGTATCTGCTGCCAAAGCCCTCAGTTTGATTTACCATACCGTTTCTGCGCACAAACGAAGTCAAAAATTTTGCTTGAATTAAAAAGCTTCAATTTCAGTTGACGTTAAAAGTTGCGTTGTAAGTTGGCTGCCTATAAACTAATCTTCATGAGTTTTCTAACCAGAGTTGATCATAATTGAGGCAATAGCACTGCTGGGGGTTCATAAATCAATTAAATGTGAATTTCATATGTTATTTTATCTATTTCGTAATAAAAACGCACAACAAAGTTAACATTAATTAACCAATATGACAATTTAAAATTCAAGGTCACTATGTATCCATAATTTCAATAATTTTATGTTGTTTTGTAATCAAGTATTATGATTATCAAAATAATAATCAATTATATAAAGTATTTATATTAGTGCCTCTCATTTCCAATGAAATCGGGCTACCTATCGCATAAAAATAAATTTAAACAAAATAGTATAACTGAATGAATTTATTTAAAGTAAGTTTATTCATCCATGTGCGCCTTATCTTGTCATGATTATTCTTCAAGTATTCAAAATAAGAGAATATTTTAACATTGCGCAGCTTTTAAGCTTTTAAAGTGACAGAAAGGTATTTTTGAAAAGCATTTCTACCAAAAATAAATTAATTTTATGTAGATTTATTGGACATTATTTTTTGTTCAAATGATTATTAGTTATAACAGGTCCGTTCATTCCTTCGCTGAAATAAATCGATTTAAAGCGGGGAATTTGGTCATTTTAATTTGAAAACATTCGATGTCTCAATTTTTAAAAATCATTTAAACATTTTTATCATTTATTTTATTATTTTAATTTTTTGTTATTTGTAAACTACCCTTAATGAAATATTTTACAATAATTGATGTGGCGTTTTAACTGACAGTACGGTTTTACATGTAAGATGTATTGGGAATGCTAGTGCTAGAAAAATGGCAACATCTGGCATTAGTTCAAATTTTGAAAAGTTTAAAAAAGTTTCAAAATGACTTTTTTAGCCTTTTCTCCTTTTAGTCAGTAGTGTTAGTATAGTCGTACGCTCTTTTACTCCACACAATGCTTGAACATATTGACAGATGTCCAATTCTCACTTTTCTTTAAGCTGAGTTCAACTTTTGTTTTTTTTTGCTGCTCAAATGAGGGAAAACCAATTTTGGTAAATCCCCAAATGGGCAGTTTCGTTTGTCTTTTAGCAACCCCACTTACTTACCTTCTAATGGGATTGGTTAATTTTAAAACGAATTATAGCCATTGTGTCTATAACTTAAAAGTTTATAATTTGAGTTTAAATAATAATCTTAATGGCAATTGATGTTGTCTCTTTCAAAGGAATTAAGTGCACATGAGGTAAATATAGCACAGACTGTGCTGTACAAAACCGCATGCAATCATTAATCCCCATATCGTCATAGGCACAACCTACCTCACACGCAGCCAAAATGAAAGTGCTCCACGTAGCACATCTTTTTCCTCTAAGTCATTGGAGCAGATATGCCGATGACAGGAGACTTTCCATACTCGAGGATCCTTCCATAGCCATTACTGCGAAAAAGTCAAGGCTTTTTTTTAATTTCAAATGACAGGCGTTTTAATGGTTATCATTAGCCCTTTAGCTGACTTCGAGCTTCACAGAGGGGAGGAGGAACATCAAAGTGAAAAAAGTCGAGAGTTGGGACAGAATAATGATTCACAGATGTAAAAGAGATAGATAGACACAAAGGCAGAGAAAGGGTAAGATGAGTAATGTGGAAGCACTCGAATATGACATAAAGTGAGGTGATGGTAGTTTGAAGTGAGAAGCCAACTGCCGATTTATAGACTTTTTTTCCGTATGAGTATACGTCGCCCAGTGTACAAAACGTGAAAGTAAGTCTATCGCACACCCCAGTCAAGGCTTATTACTGTAGCAACCTGCAGCAAGCTATTTTATGATCCCTTTTAATAGAAAGGCAACCTAAGCATAATAAGTTTATGCTTAAAGGAAAATTCTATCCCACACTTAAATAAATACTTAAAATTTAGTGCATAAATTTTGTTTTTTCTTTCCACTATGAGGTTCGTCTTTTTAAGAGTTTTGATTTGAGGGTTGATTAGATCTAAATTCATTCAACTTCACAAAGTTGTCAATTCTTTTACGGAAGTAATTTTTTACTTCCTCTCGAAATACTTCTCCAACGAGAAGAAATTTTGAAAATTTATTTATTATTCCGCAAAACTTTTGCTATTTCTCTTCTTGATTAGTCAACATTATTATGAGCTCTTAATTTATACAAATTAAATTAAGTCTTAAATAAACTAAAAGCATGTGACAACAACATTCATAAAATTTCTTTCTTAAATTGAGAAAATGTTTTTTTAATAAAATAGTAAAATCTTGGAGAGGTTGATTAGGGAAGGGTCTGCTTAAATTCATGACTTGGTTTCTAGGGGATTCATCAAATATCCCCATTAAAATATTTATTAAGTGTGTGATATTTCATTTTTATCCATCTTATTTAATAAATTGCATGCATTGGAACTGAACAGACTTCAATAATTAAATTTTAGCAATTTTTAAATGGGTATGGACTTTACACTATTCGGTCTAATAAAAGTGCGAACATTTATAGTACAATTAGCTGAGAGGATTCATGATTTGTGTAAAAAAGATACAATCAAAGTGCAAAGGTAAATTGATGTTGCTTTTCATAAAGAATTTGAGGTAGTTTGAATGTCAATGTTTTTCCCCAAAATTTGTCTGGCAATTGGTAATTCAATGGGGTAGCTTCTTTGCCCACGTATACACTTTCGTTTGTACAATGGCTTTTGTTAAATCCAACTGTTTTTCATTTGTGTTTTTTGTGTCTGACAAATGAATTATAAACGCAGTAAGGACAGTGTTTGCTGTATTAAAAAATAACATCAAGATACAATATGCCTTCACTATCAACATCTTATTTGGAAGCGGAGGGGTGTGTGCGATAGACTTACCTCCACGTGGTGCACCCTGGACAGCGTGCGATAGACTTACCTCCACGTGGTGCACCCTGGGCAACTTTTACTCGTAGGACAAAAAAATCTATAACCAACAGTTGATTTCTGACTTCAAACTGCCATCACCTCACTGTATGCCATATTTGACCCCTTCCGCAGTACTCACCTTACCTTTTTTCTACCTTTGTACCTGTCTCTTTGGCATCTTTGAAACAGTCATCTGTTCCGCCCCCTCTAGACATTTTGTTTTCACTTTGATGTTTCTTTTATTTGTGAAGTCTGAAGTCAGCTGAAGGGCAAATAATGACTATAAAAACGCCTGTCATTTGATATGAATAAATACATATTAAGATAATAACGTGACTGTTCATGTTGAGGCATGTTTTTTGTCCTCTAAAAACGCTTTTCATTAAAATGAAAATTAATATTACTTATAGGAACACAGGATTCTTCCTCGGCATTATGTTACAGGAGTCAATTGACATCTTTTTGTATGCAAAGAGTAGAGTGGAGGATTTTCAAAATTGCTTTATTCGTTCCTTTGTGTTCCGGTTGGATAATAATGAACAAAACACGTCAAGCATTCACATTTGGCAATCGAGATCTTAGCGTGTTCGAGTGAATGCCTGCCATGATCAGTAGTGCTTTTGGGCCGAATTTTTGAACCCAAAAAGTCTCGTCTTGCTTCAACCATTCGCTTTTTATTCCATGGGTTGAAAGAAAAAACTGTGCCATACGTGGCTGATTGGTTTACATGGCTGAAGCAAAAAATGTCATGTGTGTTAGAACAGTCTGAAATATGTCGTCTTGAGTGAAGAGCCATTTTGCTATTTATTAATTAATTGTTTCTATGTGGCCAATATGCAGACGACCTCATATTTTAATGTCTAAGTTGTGCTCAATGGCAGGACCACAAACGTGGAATTTCAACTATTACATATTTAAAACAGAACTCGCGTCTTTTTTAATGTTTTCTAGTTTAAAGAAGGTGTTATAAGCTCAGTCTAAGTGCAGTTAAAATTAGAAAGTATTTTTTATGGTTAACACTTGACAGCAAATGTTAGCAACAATGCAACTTAACGCTAATTAATCTCAAGCAGAGCAGACTTTAAAATCAATGACCAACAATTTAATTACTTGGAATTAGCTTTCTTACTTTTATATATTGCAAATTCAATTATCATGTAGAAATAACTAAAGGCTGGAAGTGATAACAAAAAATATGAGTGTCATTAAAACAAGGAATTTTTTTATTATTCATATCTTGTACAGATGGGCGCCCAAGCAATTGTTTAAGTAGTATTGACATAAAAAATAACAGATAACTCGGATTTGATGAGCATTTTACAAGTGACTGACTTCATTCTACCACGTGTCTGGTTGATGTGAATAAATTTCAAATCAATAAAGGCAGTCGGATGTTGATCAGAATGCAGATTGTTTTGGCATCGCATTTTAGTGCATTGAATATGCAAATTTTTGAAGTGTGAAATATACCGCATTCTCTTGTGGTCGTATGACTAAATTTAAAGGTAACTCAGCTTCATAGCGCGCTCTGGTAATGGATAATATAGTATATTTAATAAATAAACTATAAATAATAGTTATTATATTTAACTCTGGTTGTCAAAATGAGAATGCCGAAGTCCTTCGACTCTCGTTCTTTGGAATTGTATCTGAAAGGGAAATTCCCCCCCCCCCCACCCCACTCCCTCCTCAACATCCTCACGCTACGACTTACAATTTTTCAGTATTTATTGTCATGGTAGCAAAATACGCACATTTATACAGTGGCAAACAAAAAATGTAAGAATAGATTAAAATTAAAGAAGTTAAAATGGAATTAGACGTCCTTTTCCAAAGGGAGTTTAAGTTGAACCTCGTCTTTAGATACTTTAGTGAGTTGGGGAACTGCCGGTGCACCGATACTGGACGAAGCCAGTGGCTCGCTCGCCTCTGCCGTCACAGTTGGCTTCACCAACTTCCATCGAGCCAACAGACGTCGGAGGAAACGTTGATAAGCAGAACAGGTAAAGATTAGTAGCAAAGGTTCGCTGACTGTATTTGAAATGCCTAACCAAAGGGAGTAATCCATAAGCATCTCTGAAGTGTCACCAAAGAAGTTGCACACTTTTGTGAGAATATTAAGCAGGTGATTGGGAAACCACGAGAGGACAAAGAGAGAGGTCATTAGAACGCAGAGTCGAATGAGTCGTTGCCTCCGACGACGCCATTTCGCTCCCATGGTGTGCCCCATCACGAGGAGCATTTGATGAGATCGACGCAGCTGCCTGGTGACAATGTGATGACTCAGGCATATAACGAAAAGAGGAATTAAGTAGATCAAGATGATGAGAGTGAAGTCGTAGATCATTCGCCGCTTGCGACCCCAAGTTTCCCTGAAAAGAAATTCCATGATAATTAAATTGCGTAGGTCTAAACAAATAGAGCACCTTTCAAGAATATGATTGTCCTTAATTACAATGACGAAATAATGCGGTGTGTGTTATAAATGTGACATCAAATTTTCACTTTTGGCTCAAATTTTTAGTGGGAATAAGATTTTTTTACTAATTCTCCAAAATGTGCCATTCGAGATTAATCTACACTTCACCAAGTTAAATGACCGTTTTTAAGGGCAAGAAGTGAAGCTTTTTCATTGAAACTACGCTGATAAGTAAATGAATGCCAATTATTTGGGTAATATTTCAGGTAGAGTCAGTGAATCGTTTTTAAAAGAAGTGTCAAGACATTATGGGCCATAATTTCACTTATCAACAATGACGTGGTCATTTATGTTATCATCTGCTCATTTTCTGACAATCTGGGGAGCAGTATTAGTAATTATCCAGTTCATGAAAACAATTCATTTGGAAAAGAAGCCTTGTGTAGGAAAAGTGGGTAAATATCGTTAAAGCTGCTTTGAAAAGTAGGATTGAGAAGCATACGTTTCCTCCAAAACCAATACAAATTATTTTGCAAAATTAATTATTTTTCATTATATTTCAAGCGCAAAATACGTATATTTAAAGAGCGGTCATTATAAAATAAACGGAAATTTCATTGCGGATGTCAAATATTAAAATGGAATTTCGCATATTTAACATTCTTTCTAACATAAATCAACAAAATACCTCATATTCTCCCCCCTCACTAAAAATTAATAGAAATTTGTTTTGTAAATTTTCGTTAAATAAGAAGTAATAATTATTCTACGCCTAATTGACTATATTTTGGAATATTCTGATGTTTAATTCTACTCAAAATAATTAAGATCGTGAAACTGGTGTAATTACAATTGCAAACGTGCACGTTTTACAGAGTTCAAAGCATTATCCAGGTGAATTATGGGAATCTTCTGTGCACGGGAACATTTTGAAACGGGCAAGAAAGGCATGTGCTCAAAGACCTCACAGATAATAAGATGTCAACAGTTCTGATTGCAATGGATGGCTAATATTTTTGACAGTTCACTATATTACTCACTGCGTCTAATGTCCTTATTATTATGCCATGTTTAAGATCTCGGGATGTGCAATAGACTTACCTCCACGTGGTGCACCCTGGGAAACGTATACTCAAACGGCAAAAAAGGTCTAGTAACCGGCAGTTGACTCCTGACTTCAAACTACCATCACCCCACTGTATGTCATATTTGATTACTCCCACAGTACTCACCTCACCTTTTTTCGACCTTTGGGTCTGTCTCTTTTACATCATTGAATCACTCTTCTGTTCCCCCCTCCCCACCATCTCGACTTTTTTCGCATTGAAGTTCACTACTCTTTTCACTTAGATGTTCCTTCCCCTCTGTGAAGCCTGAGGTCAACTAAAGGGCTAATGATAACTATCATAAAGCCTGCCATTTGATATAAATAAATGAATAAATGTTTAAGATATCTGCATGAGATTGCCTGTACTGTCCGCAGGGTTACTAAAATCTGAATAGCATTCTTTTAAATTTTACACGTTTATACTATTAATTTGTATTTTATCTGCAGAATAAATTTAATGACCTCCTTTATATGCAGTGGAAAAAATTAAATGTGGTCATAAATTTGCATTAAGGATTAACAAATGACTCATTGAAATCATGTATAACATACCAACAATTAAATAAAACTTGAATTCAATCATCCTAAATGGAAGTTAATTAATCTATCAAAATTAAATAATTTTCTGGTTGACTTGAGCATTTCGCTCAACCAACTAGAAAACTTTTATAATGGCATGATGTCAAAATATTAAGTTTTCTACCTATCAGATTATCGATTGAGTGTGCGGACATAACGAAAACTGAACTTGTTAATTTAAATTTCTGCTCTACCTTTTAATAACATTTTAGAATTTCAAGCACAAAATATGAATTGTTATTGAAAATGTTGAAAATTTTTGTAATTTAACTAAAATAAAAACGATTGATGCGAACCTTCAATAACTAGAATTAATAATTAATTTGAATGTACTTTTGAAAATATGACAAATATGTTAATTTATGTGGTATTCACCTTGAAATTCTCATTAGGAACAGAGGTGCGTTTTCTCATCGCTCTTTAATTGGTCAGGCTGGTTCATGGAAATTAAAATTAGCTTTCTGGTAGGCATTAAGATTTTTAGGAAATTAAATAGAGCGTATTATGTGTGTCAATTTATTTTAAAGACAAACGTAAACTATAATGCATTAATGCATTTTTCCATAAATGATTAATATAGTTGTCATTTAAAAAATAAATAAGAAAAATAATTTGTGCGAATGCAATACTATTTTTTTAATTCAGGGAATATGACCATCGGAAACGTTTTTAAACAGTTGGCTTATATTAAGGCCGTAATAATATACACTCTTAATTAGACTTTGAGGAGATTTTAATTGCCAAGAGTGATAAACTATCTCGTTTGATTGATAATAGAATTTTTACTATAAGTAATCAGCGCTACTATATAAAGCATGTGAGTAGACATTAAAATTGCTCGCTTTCCAAGAAATAAATAAATAATAATCACTTAGGAAATTTTGAATAGTTTATATTAGGCTTGATTGCAAATAACTATCACGTATATAAAAATGTAAGATCAATAATTCTGTGAATGAAATATGTTATGTGTAAATATATTTATTTATTTATTATGGGGTGTGCGATAGACTTACCTCCACGTGGTGCACCCTGGACAACGTATGCTCGTACGGCAAATAAGTCTATTAACCGGCAGTTGACTTCTCACTTCAAACTACCACGACCCCCCTGGTTGTCATATTCGACCCTTTCCACAGTACTCATCTTACCTTTTTCTCTACCTTTGTGTCTGTCTGCCTCTTACATCTGTGAATCGCCCTTCTGTCCCCCACCCCTCGACTTTCTGCTACTTTGATTAACCTTCTCTCTGTGAAGCCCGAAGTCAGCAAAATGGCTAATGATATCTATCAAAATGCCTGCCATTTGAAATAAATAAATAAATGTATTTATTTATTATAAAAAACGTACTGGCACACCCTTGTACCGTAGTGATCGGCAAGCGGATGGAATTTCAATCTTACAACTCTTGACACGACTGAAGACGGAAGCGCAATTATTACGGCAAAAACAATTGCTGAGGTGATAAGAGCCGTCACTCTGCAGTTGACATCGTAGTCACTTTCACCAGTGCATCGACCGGCCCGAGAAATAGCTATACTCCGATTGAGACAGATGGCAACTAGCAAAAAATTGGTAAGACCAACAATGAAGTAGATGAGGAAGGACGCGATGTAGCACATTTCTGATCCAAGCTTCCAATCCTTGTAAACAGACGTATAGGCCGTATAGGGTGCTCCAAACCACACTAGGGCAAGATCACAGCACACATGCATCAGTAGCATGCGTCTATTCGACTTTGATTTGGGATTTCGCACCCTTATGATAATGTAGATGAGGAGGAGATTGAGAAAGGATCCGAGAATAAAAATTAGACAATATATAGCCAGTAAAATTCGCTTATAAACGTTGGTTTTAAGGGTATTGACATAATCGTATAAAATCTGATATATGGGAAAAGTCGACTGATTACTGGGGCTTTCATAAGCGGGGGTTTTGAGATAGATCAAGGTGGAGTTGATAAGTGCGTCGGTAGTTGTGATAACTTTTACGTCCTCCATTAACTCGAATAGAACGTACTTTATCAATCCGAATAATATGATGCAATGCTAAGGCGAACGTGATAGTGTGAACATTTTCAATACGTTGGGTGAATTTTGATTGGTCGTGTGGAAATTACTGCGATATTATTGGCTCGAATGCTAAAGTTTGGTTCACATCAATTAGAACAAGTAAAACCCAATTTTTATTATTTAAAATTAGTACAAAATATTAAATAATGCGTAAAATGCAAAAAACTATTTACTGATGTTTATTTAATGAATTTAGAATCATATTATGGTGGCTTAATAATAAAAATATTGAATATGCATCAGTTAAGCAGTATAGCATAAACTTTTAATTATTTGAGATTCTGTATTAATCGATTAGATTTTAGACTATATTAATGGTCCATTTTGCATCTCTGTTTGGAGTTAAAATAGAATTTTTGTGGTGTCTGTGTTCTTTAAATACCTAATATAATCTTATTCATAAGCATCACTAATTTAATAGAAACTTTGGTAAATATGAAATCAAATTAAAAGAAAACTAAAACTATTTCACATATGAAATGTCATTTATAATCACCAAACTACAACAAAATGATTTATACCGGAAGGCGTTTTTATGCCGAAGGTAAGTTAGCGACTTTAAAATTTTTCTCCTTTGACATTGCAATCATCTTTAAATAATTGCGAGGAGTGATCGACAGTTTCAAATGAACGACAATAAATTAAAATAAGAAACTGAGATCAATTCGGTCTTGAATCAACGGCAAACTCTACCTTTTCGGATTAACTTCCAGTAGCTAACTGGATAAAGTGTAGGTTAAGCAAATAATTAATCACGTTGGATTAAATTTCGTTACCTTTTTTCAAAAGCTTCGGTGTCTCCGGCTTTTGAATTTGGAATACAAATTGCGGTCTGTTATAACAAGAATCAGGTACAACTGAGTATGATTGAGTATTTAAAAGTGTTTGGATTGTCGACTGATTTCAAAACCAATTTTTATGTCATGAATATTGGTTAACAATTTTAAAAGGCACCATTCGTAAACGCTCGAATAGAAAATTATGAATTTTTTATCCTAAGAGCATGGAGTTAAAATTAATTGAATTTGTAAATTCGGAGCACATTTTAAAGAAAAAATGATTACAAAATATCGTTATATTACCCAATTACTTGAAATTCATTTTACACGTACATCATTACTACACCACATTTAAGAATTTTAAATTCAATAAATTCGTGCCTCTAAATTTTTTTCCGTAAGTTCAGTCGATTAGCAATTTTAGTAAATTATTCTCAAAGAAAATAGTTAAAAGATAAATCAAAGCACACTTGATAGTTTCTTTTAATTTCTCTTTCTGTTTCAGCCAAGTTGAAATTTACCAAAACGTATTTTTGGTAAGATCATATTAAGACAAGGAATTAGTGCCTTTACACATTGATGGGTCTTTCATTTTAATCCCTGAAAGCTTAGCCCACAACTTACTTTAAAAGAAAATCAAGTTTGGAGTTATTAAACTCTGCAAAAAAAATTGGTGCCTTAAAATTAACTCATAACTTTATGCGTTTCATTCAATTAAAACCAGGTTAGATTGAATCACAGAAAAGTAAGAAATTTCAAGATTTTTTCGTCCGCGTAAGTAATTTTTTTACTATCAAAGTTATTTTTCGCTGTTTATATTTGGTCACTTGAAATAAGACATAACGTAATTGAAAGAGGTTAAGTGTGTGCTTATTCAGTAAGTGATAAACGCTGCAATCAGAACCCCATTATATTAATCTTTCGGAAATGAAGGTTAATTTTATGTTCTTTTTATAATATACAATTATTATGCGGAATGGGAATAATTTCCGTTCATTGTATTTAATACAAATCGAAAGATGCAATAAAATGGCAGAATTTAAGGTTGCTAATTTATTTGTGCTACGATATATGTAAATATTCGCACACATTAAAAAGCTTTGCTTGAAAATAAAAAATCCCTTTATGTAACAAAAACATTTTGCATAGAATAAATTAATATTTTTTTAATAAAAATAAAATATTTCAGATCTGAAAACTGATGATTTAATCTTTCCCCTCGCTTATTATTCTCCAATTTCAATCCAATTTTTTTTAAATTTAATTACGCATGCATATATCTTATTGCTCTCAACATTTATTCATGTTAATTTGATTACAACGTAATTAATAAATGAATTATATGAAAAAAATTAAATTGCATACTTTATTATTTTTTTGCCTGCAAACTTAATAATTTAAAGGAAGAAAAGCATTTACTTCTGTAATGAGATACAAAAGGCAATATTAAGGCGCGTTTATTGGTGGATATCTAACAATATTAGAGTAGGCATGTACATTGCTCTGTTTATGCAAATAAAACTGCAAGAATTGGAGAACTTTGAAGAATTAGACAAACTTTTTTATTGGGGAAGACGATTTCCTAAGTTTTTTCAAAGCTACTAATGTGAACAGTGTCATCTCTCGGTTTTTTAGACCTCTCAAGTTCAAATCCTTTATGTCCACTTAAACAAGTTTTATGAGATAAGTAAATAAGTGCGAATATGTGTAAAGTATCTGCGGTAATAAGGTCAAGCTTAATTTTCAATACCTTCCCCCAAAAGGTCAAACTCTTAATTATAACACACTTGAAAATCCAAATGAATGATAGCTTCATGGTATAAGACATCATTGGGTGTTGGGAAATATTTGTGTTAGTTAGAGTTGAAAATGCTAATTTAACTAAATTGTCCAAGGTTTCTATTAAATTTTGCTTTAAAATCATGTACGATTTTCCGAATTGTTGACCAAGGTTGGTAGTGATAGTGGATTTCATCAGAAATTCGCTGTTTACAGCAATTACACCTACACATTCAATTCTATACAGTATTATAAAATGCACTTTTAAATACTTAATTAAAATATCTTCTTTCAGTCAGCAAATTCTCCGTGTACACTTGACACTTGTGTAGATAAAAATGTGACACATCTGATCTTACAAAATTACAAATAGAAATGAAAATTGGAAACACAGACCTAATATTATGCTATTTTTTTGACGTAACATCAGGTTTAATCTTAGTAACAAAAATTCAGACAACAGATGGGGCAATATCTTTGAAAGATAAAATTTCTTTTTTTAAAGGAATTAATTTTCCAAAATTTAGAAAAAAATAGAATATAATGAACTGATTTTTTAATATGTTTTCTTGGCAACATTCATGAGCCCATGGGCTATTTCTCTGTACCATTGTCCACGTAAATACAAATTCAAGATTTCTTAGCCATTTGGATAGAATTGAAAATAACATTTTTGTCAAAGTTATACATTGCTATTTTTCAAAATTCGTCGGTTTTATATTAATAAATGAATTCAATTTGCATTGGTCATCGATTACATTTACTATCTATATAAATAATTCAATTGAAAAATGACACTGGCAAATTCTCGTATGCAATTGATTGTAAGGCATGCATTTTATAATCGAAGTTACATTTACTTTAAGTTTCAATGCACGAAAAAATAAATATCTCCTATCATCAATTGATGGTAATTAAATATCGTACACAACAATTAAGAAATGTTAATTTTTTCCCATATTTACAAATTTTTCTTTGACAGCATCACTATCAATTAGAGATCACTTTAAGAACTTGTCATCATATGGAATTTATTTTAAGAGTATAAATTAATAGCAAAAAATTCTTTCTCTTACGTTGAAAGAGATGCAGATTTTTATAGATACATTTGAATAAACTGCATTTGTTATTGAAAGTTTCAATCGGAACCTTAGTGCATGTGAATGATGCAATTCCACATTATGTCAATAGACGTTTCACCAGAGGAACAAAGATAGCCTCCTTATTATCAGCCTTATATTTCTCCCACTGGACAATATGGAATTTAAAAAATTTCCGTCGGGCCTAATTAAAAGAGATTATTCCTAATTCAAAGGGAACATTAATGGACTTTCATATATCCTCAGGCAGGATTCACATGCCTATTAAAAAAATTTCAGTGCGATTATAACCAATCGGGGTGCGCGATAGGCTTACCTCTACGTAGCGCACCTTGGGCAACGTATACTCATACGGAAAAAAAGTCTATTAACTGGCAGTTGACTTCTCACTTTAAACTACCATCACCCTCAATGTATGTCATATTCTACTACTTCCATAGTACACACCTCACCTTTTTATTCTACCTTTGTGTCTGTCTCTTTTATATCTTTGAATCTCTCTTCTCCTCTCCTTCTCGATTTTTTCACTTTGATGTTCCTCTTTCTCTCGGTGAAGCCCGAAGTCAACTAAAGGGCTTATGATAACCATCAAAACGCCTGCCATTTGATATAAATTTTAACCAATCAGTGCTTATCTATTGAAAAATTAACCTTCTAAATCATACTTCATTTTGGTCAAGCTGGTAGTCGAATGTCAGTTCATTGAAAACAACTTGTGCCTCACTATGAACATTTCCCCCACTTGTCATTCCTACCCCATTCAACTGATTCATGATTTAAATTAGATGCGAATCAACCCAAGTGCTTTCTTTCACGAATCAAATTTGCAAAAACCGTTTTATTCAATTTCACCTTATTTTGCGTGGCAGCTGTTATTGTATTTTTAGATAATAGTTTAGACACCTTTCAAAATTTTATAATGAAACTGTTTTTGATTTGCTTTTTATTCGCTTATACGCATGGTTATGGCTTAAATGTTACCTGCGGATAATGACTATCGAGGAGTGTACTTAAAATTGTTGTATGTAGCCCTAGGTGCGCATTTAGACAACCAAATTAAAATAACTCAAAAAAGCTAAAAATTATTGCAAATTATATAAAGCAATAAAACAGGGCTGTCGGTGTTATTATAAATTTTTCCCTCAAGCGAAAGTTAGCTAGATACTATTGTCTAATATCTGAGTGATTAGATTTGGGAATCAATTAGTGAAAAGTGGTTATCGTCGTCATAAAATGGCCATACTTTATGAAATTATTGTTTAATATTCAC